CTCCTGCCATACCTATCCTTCTAAATCCCAGCCAGAGGTTTAACAGTAGCCTGAATAGGGTGTGCGTACTGCAACCATATCAACGTGAGCCAAACCCAGTCTAGCAGACCACTGTAATGCAGTCCGAGCCTGACACCGATTAATTTCAAGAGAAGAAGATGCGGTCACTGGAACAAAAAGTGCATTGGTCGGACGTTTTGCATTTCAACTTATGCGGGACATTCAAAAGATAAATTGGCGAGCATAAGTTGTCTTTTGTCAGAGAGTGGGAGTAGGTGTTCCGCAAGCCTGCTCTCACTGTTCCTTTCCCTTCTTTTCCCCTGTCGGAAGTCACCGCGTGCTCCAACTCGTTGAAGCTCGTGGTGGATATCGTCGAAATCGACGGTCGAACTATCGTGTGTTCAACCATCGATTCCGATGAGGTCCACCTTGTGCACCATTTGAAGGTGACTGGTTTCAGGGGGGTAGAATATAGTGATAGCAGACGTATTTGGCGCCAACCGCACTTTCCACCTTCGCCCGGGGTCAAGAAGGCCAAATGGGATCCAGCGTTAACCGCTTTCTCCAATGCAAGCCAGAAAACATCGCCCAACTTAGTATTAAGTGACAGTAGACTTTGCGCGGGTACTACCGCAATACCTACCCTCACTCACCCTCAGTAGCTGTCAAGACAGGCTCAAAAAGACCGAGACTGATACGGCTACTGTTATTTATACTGCTACTTACTAGCAATGTAACCGAGTGTTAGTAGTACTGGTACTATTTCTGACGCTAATATCAGTGAGATGTGACGCTGATTATTAGTCAACGCTGGAGCTCATATCCCCTCGATCTCAACAAAGAGTCTGAATCTGGTTTTATGCTGTTACGAGTAAATGTATGTTTGAGGCTCGGGGCACATCAGTGCTTGCCCTGGTTTTAGCTCTTTTTCCTCTATTCACCAAAACTCTGTCAGTTTTTTCTAAGTTTGGACCGCGATGAGTAGGATGTTGCTGATAGAAGTAATGTGCCAATGTTAAGAGTGCTAATTGTGGTAATAATACTGACTACGGCCAGTAAATAGTATACTATAATACGGCCTGTACGTGCACGTTGAAAATCGGAGACTAATATGTAGTCGCATCTTCTATCGGACAATTAGTAAACTAGAGGGATAAATAAACATTTATTTAATAATAGCTCAAGTTATATAATGCCAGTAGGTCGCATCGTAGAGCCATGTGCCGTTTTTCACGCCAACTTTAACTGTCTACCGTACCTAGCTCTAGCTTAGAATTTAGAGAACATCCCCTGTCTAGCAGGGAGCTACTTTCTCCAGAATCAACTAGACATAGAAGCTTAATAATTCCTATAATTGTGTCAGTAGGTGAGTAATAGGCAATGATTCTAACAGATAGAAATATGAGCTTACCAGATGTGCGTAGGTAGGGTTGGGAGGACAACATCGGAGTCGGCAATCTGATCAGCGTCAGAGGGAATTGACGACTGGGAAAGCTTATAAGGTGCGGGAGGTTGAATTGGCGACTTGCGGGCGTGGTAGTAGTGGCGCCCTTACGAAGTCCATTTTGGGCGCACTGGA